GCATTTCTTCAGATTATTGTCAAAAGCTTAATAACGAGAAATAGCTTGAAAAGCTATGTTCTTTCCCTTGCTTCTGTGTTATTTGAAACGATAGTTCCAATCAGCTGTGTTAGAAATATTATTTACTTGACATTTCGCCAATTTTTTCGGAAAATTCTTTAACTGTGATAATTTTTATATCCAAACTTAGCTATAAACTAAAACTTTACTTTGCTATCCTAACTGTTCATTCACTATGAGATGACTCGCACAAACAAAAGATACAATTTACAATATTACATGCTTGTATTTATAAAAAAAAAAGGATAATTGCCATGCAATTCTAAGTAGACAACGTTATTAATTCTATAAAAAAAAAACGAATTGGAAATCCTTTCTGTAACTCGGAATGATACATAACATAATTACATAACTTTCTAAAAAATAGTAGTTAATTTTAACTAATTTTTCAATAAACTTATAATGTTTCAAAGGGCACGTTTCTAACACATGAGAAGGCATCACAAAAAAGTTTGAACATGAATAAATACATTTTATAACAAAAATATTATTATTTCTAAATCCACCTGTCACAAGGAAAAAGAAAGGGTTCTTTCACTCTTAAAAATGAGTGAAGCAAACAATGGGAATAATAGAAGTGTACAGGTGTTCTGTGCATGTGTGCAAGACCTATCACCCCTTTGAGTTGATAACATTTATTTTCTCCTTATCTATTTACCCCCTATAGAACAAATGTATGATTCTCTGACACTACAAAGAGCATTTCATTCATGAATTCTAGCATGAAATATCACACCAAGGTGCACTCTTTCTCAAAGTTATACAATTGATATAGAATGAAACAAGCACTTATGAATGAAACATATGTCACTTAAGTAAGGACCACCTAAGAATGAATGACTGCAATAATATGCCACACACATGCAGTAAAAATGTGAAGTGCATGAAGAATTTATAACCACAGTAACATATTTTAATTGGTCTTTAGACTAATGCATCCTTTAAGAGAACCTAGGATAAAAAAAAATCTTAAAAATTCATGAGCCTTTCCTTTTAATATTTAGAAGTATATATTTTTTAAATAGTGAAAAAAAAATCATATTTCTATGTTAATTAGAATGCAAGATAAGATTAAGTTTAATTTTTTTTCTTTACACCTTTATGAAAAACTGTTGTATTAAAAGCCCGTATCTTAGTGTTTTTTTAAAAAAGAAAAAAAAAAGGAAAAAAAACTTGAAAATGATGTGTCTCAAATTTTATAAAACCTAATTTCATAGAATCTAGCACTTACATATTTATTTTAGTTGTTTTACTTCAACATGTTTTTAAGAAATTTAAAATAAATAATAAAAATTCATTTTCTTTAAAAATTTAAAAATAAGAAAACGAAATTTTAATGCTAGAATTTTTTTTTGTGTATTTTTCAAGCATTAATTGTAAAAAAAAAAATCAAAACGACTAATAAAGTATAATATTTTTAGCGATATTGAAAATTAGAAACCACATTTTTTCTAAAAAAAATTTAATGATTCATAGAAACTTATGAGAGTTTTTGTTTTCGTTTTGTATTCTACAACAGGAAAAAAAATTAGAAAAAAATGCATGCATGGACTAAAGACATTAGACCCAAATGTCACACTTTCTGAAGAACGGTCAACCGAATCCTTTATATGTATAATTATGATAAAAACGAAAGACCTAAAAAGAATATAAATAAATTAGCTTTGGATGCACTCAAACAATGTATTCTAAGCACCGAAATATGTTCCAGAAGGCATATAAAACGCATCCATTACTTAAATTAATATGGCTTATAAGCATCGCGTTTGTTCGTTATTCTAGTAGTAAGTTCTAAAGAAAATAGGGTATACTTTGTGATAATCAAAATTAAGCAAAACAACGTGATTGGAGAACGAAATGGAAATAATGTATAGTTTTGGTTTTGTAGACAGGAATCTTTCTCCCAGTGTGTAAACACATTTTAGTGTTTAGACACTGAGGCACTCTTGTTTATAACTGTACTTTTGTTTATGCTTTATTAACGTTGTTTTGTTTCATTCTAGACTAGCTGGCTGTTTTTTTTCTATTAATTTTAATAGAAGATAAAATATGTTTTATTTTTAATGCGACTATGTAGTAAGTAAACTAACAGAATGTGTGCCAGCAGATAATTTGAAGAATATTAATAAAAATTCAATTGAAACTTTTAATGAAGCGTATATTACATTTGTAATAAAATCATACAACCATGCATAGCAGTTTCTAACAGTTATTGTTACTGTTTTCTCAAGTTCATTATTTAAAATGCGAAACTCAGAGCACAGTTTGCTCATTATCACTTCTTTTTTTTTCTTTAAAGATTGGAGGTATTCATAATTTTGTTGTATTCATCTTCAAACATTTCTCTAGAACAAGTTGTTTCAAGAAGATCATTAAAAATTCCACTTAATTCCTCATCAGTTTTCAAGGAAGTTTTCTCTGTAAGTGTTAACCTAGTAAATAAAAAAAACTGTTAAAAGAAATCTTCCAATGATCGGTTGTTACTCGCAAAAATTTTCATTTTAATTCCACAAGCAAAAATTGATTGTTATTGGAAAAATTACAATTGCAGATGTTCACAGGCTTGTTTAAGATATGAGTAAATATTAACTATTTTTAAGTTCTGTAATATTGCAGAAAAACTTGCTTTTTATCTGATTTTTTTTCTTTTAGATTTTTAATTAATTAATTTGTTTTTCCTTCAATAATTTAGACTTACGACTCTTACTAAAGAGTGAAGGACAGTCGTAATCCGACTAAAATAGTCAGCGTAATTAAGTCAACTAACCAGTCGAACTAAATAATGATTTTCTGGTATATTTCCGGGTTGATTTGAGTATTTGAAACCCTTTTATAAACTTTCTTTATTCAAAAATGTGCTTAAGAAAAAAATTTAATTTTTCATTTTGTGTTCATTGTTTCAAGTTTTCTGTTGTTTGAAATATTTCAACGAACACTGCACTAAAATAAAAGGAAAAAAGAAGAAAAGAAAAAAAAGAATCATCCTGAATATATATTGATTTAATGATCAGATCTTCACATTTTAGGACTCATTCTTAATGACTTGAGTGGGTGACTTAAAAATATGCTAATTAATTAATACAATAATATTTTAAGTTACGAAATAAGACACGAAAACATACTTTCTTTAAATAAGCAAACCTGAGCCATGATGGCCCAGGGGAATAGAGGGTTCGCTTTATAATGAGGCTAACCGTGTTCGAATCCCAGTTGATACGAATTCCGCATCCAGCTTGCACCGACCACAGTGCTGACGTGAAATATCCTCAGTGGTAGGCGGATCATTGGTTAGAGTTCCCTTGCCGTCTGACTTACCGTGGGAGGTTCTTGCGGTCTTCCTCTCCATGTAACGCAAATGCGGATTAGTTACATCAGAAAGTCCTCCACGAAAACAAAGTTCACCCAATACTTGATCCAGGTGTTTCCTTGTCTCTTGGATTGGGTTCAAAATTACAATTCTGGAAGGCTACGGAGTTGCACGTTAGTAGTCGTAATTAGTCGTTGTCGTAAAATTCTTCGCAGTCGATTTTAGAATTTTTTTAATTAATTTTTTAAGAAAATATGGTTGAAAAAATTGAAAATTTCAGAACATTTAAAAAATCTTAAAATTTATTATTTTAAATGGAATTTGTTTTCTTATTTAAGTGCAATACTTCTTTCAACACTCAATCAAGCAATAAACTGAGTAAAAAATTCATTTTGATTGCAATTATTTTAGAATTTCTCTTAATTTTAGATTATTTTTCAAATTTTAAAAACCTACAATTTAATTAGTAGTATAATTAAATTAGTAGAAGAGAAAAAAACTAGCAAAAGCCATTAGTCTACTGAAAAATGCAGTAAAATTGGTAGCTATGCAAATAATTCAAAAATAGATAGTGACATAACTGTACAATAGAAATATTCTACTTTATTTAATTATTTAAACACGGTGACTTTTAAAATTTTTATAAGAAAATGGTTGAGTTACCAATATATTCAAAATTTCATTTATAATTTGATACACAACTAATGCAGGAAATTTTAGTTAGCTTAAATCATATTTTCTCAAATTCCAGATGCTTCTTTAGTTGTAAATGTACACCTATTTGTTAAATTTATAAAATAGGAAAAACAATCGGAAATTTTTAAAATTTATAATTGTGCTTAGAAGAAATTTCACAAAAATAGTAAAGAAGGAAGAGATTTTAAAAAAAAGTATAGATCTTCCATTTTATTTTGACCTCTTAAAAGTAGCTTTACATATAATCTGTTACTGGCATCGGTTTTAAGAGTTAAGTAGTGTATATTAATATCTTTCATTCCAGTGGGTTTTTTCGAGAATAATTTTTCTCTTTTTTCACTCTAAGTAATGACTATTTATCCAATGTTGTAAAAAGATTAATTCAACTTTCTCGAGATCTTCATTTTAAAAGTTTCTGCTTGATTCTATATCAAAAACAAGAAAAAATGGATAAATAAGCTATAAAAATACGATTGTGGGAGATTTGATGTTACCAGATACAATTCTTAGCATTTATATTGGAAATTATATAAATATATAAGATTCAAAACAAATATAAAAATCCGTATCCAATTTGATCTTGATCTGTTGCATAATATAAGGCTATCGTTATAAATTATTAAAAAGTAAAATTACTTCTCCTCTATTACTTCGTATTGTGTCACAAATTCTGCAATTCTAAAATAAATTAAAAAAATTCTACGTATAGCTGATAATTTTTCCAATCCAATATATTGCTTATTTCGCTACTATTTACATACTAACATGACATAATAAATAATATTTCATAAACAAAATATGTACTATCTTTTTCTTAGAGAAATATCGACCTTTAAAGGGGGGGGGGGAAACAAACAATGATGGCTTTGATTAGTGAGTGTCTCCATATTTTCCACAAAAAATAGAAGAAGAAAAAGAGAACTATATTGTTACTTACTTTGTGAAATGTTCTCGGCTATTTTCCAGTTCATCCAGTACTTTTTCACCATTTTCGTTTTTATATTCGACAAAACGTCTAATCATATGCCGATCACCGTGGTTCGCCATTGTTGTTTCCTCTGCGTCGTCGGACGTCTTATTTTTCAAGCCAAGGACTTCCTCCATATGTTTCGAATCAGTTTCAACTGATGAATTACTAGAATGAAAAATCAGATAAATATTTATATTAAGAAAAAAAATAAGACTATAATTACAAATAACATGCTGCTATTAGTTATTCCCATCTCTAAAACTATAGATCCCATTTCTTAAAAAAGTAATAAGATGCAAATACTATTCTTATATCCACACTGTCACTGCACTTAAATTACACAATGGTTTAATTTGAAGTAACTACTCTTTCTCTGCATGTCTCTTTGAATACCTTCCCACGCACTTCTATTTCAAAAATACAACCATTTTTTACAATTTTCCTCTTTCTCCACGTTGATCAATGACATATAAATGTATAGATAGGATATTTCGTAGTTATTGACCTGAATATATTATTAAAATATTGTCAAAAATGAAGTGAAAACAATCTACACATTTATTTTGATATCATTGATTTGATATCATTATGATATCATTATTATTATCATTATTTTTGATATATTTATCAAAAATAACCGAGGAAGTTTTCACATTTCTTAAACAAAATATATAAATAAATGGAAAGAAGTATTTTTATATCATATAATGTATGAAAAAGGACTATATCAAGCAGAAATAAGTGCTTAAAATTATATGCCTTAAGCTAAGCAATCCATCTCTAAAAAGTGATGCACAAACACATTTAATTAATTAAACACAACACAATTAAACTGAATATTAGAAGAGCTATTTGTAATTTCTATTTGATGTAAAATAAAATAAATGAAATGTCTAAAACTAATGCTAATTCTTTAGAATAGTTTTTAATTAATAAATTCAGAATTAATTAAGAATAATTTTTTTTAATTTTATTATGCAGAATGTGTCTTTAGTGCAAAATGTCTCTTGGCTTGCGGAACATTTATCCTCAACACTGTTGCGATTGTACTTTTCAGTGTTTAATAAAAACAGTAGCATTATTTTAGTGTTTGCATAATAATTAATAGCAGAAATGGACAAAAAAGAGACCTAGCTTCAAATCTATATAAATATTTTGAAGTGCAAATATGATTTTTCAGTAGTAAAACACAAAATAGAATGCAGGACACAATTCTAACTAAATTACAATAAAACACTGCGAAAAAACTAATTTTTTATGGGTGAAAAAAAAACAAAGAAAAAGAAAGATGAAGGATTAAATTAGCATGATCCTATTGATTTTGTTTCACTTTGCATGCGGAATAATGCTAATTTTATTAACTTACGTTTCATTCGATGGACGATTCCCCATTTTTAAGTTCTTGAAATTCTAGGAAGGAAATGTACTTTAATCGACAAGCATGTAGAGCGGTAGATGGAGCTCGTGTAGTATTGCCAATAATTGAGATTTGTAAAAACTTATGACCTGTTGCAATCTCAGCTACAATGTGCGAGTAGACCTTCTCGAAATACATCAAAACACAATCTATTGTATTGAACGTACACAATGGCTAAAACCTGTTTATCACTAAAAGTTTCTAGCAGTGTTTAATGTTAAAAAATTTTTTCCTGGAATGCAAGTAGATACTTATTCGCGAAAGAAGAGTGAGAGGGAGGAGCTAAGAATGTAGAATGGAGCATTGGAAAAGGATCAAATCCTATGAGCTTTGAATTTAACTGTAGTACAAATTTAGGAAATTAGAATATTTCTCCGAAATTAAGTCAAAATTACATTAATCATTATTTATTAATTATTAGTTACTATTAGTTTTTATTATTATTATTTATTAGTTATTAGTTACTATTAGTTTTTATTATTATTATTTATTTATTATTAGTTACTATTAGTTTTTATTATTATCATTTATTAATTATTATTAATTAAAAGTTATTATTATTTATTAATTATTTATAATTATTTATTAATTATTTATAATTATTTATTATTATTTAAAAGTTATTATTATTATTTAAAAGTTATTATTATTTATTAATTATTTATTATTATTTATTATTGTTTATTATTATATATTATTATTTAATCTTTATAATTATTATTATTATTATTTGTACTCACGGATGGTTGATTAAGTGAGGAAAAAACAAAAACGCTATTAAAATCTCATGCATCAATACTAAATAAAGTGAGTCAAAACATAAAACCTGTTTTAATGTCAGAGAAAATATTAACGGAGATTATTAAAACCTCAAAATTTCATCAGTCAAATCAAATTTATTTTGATGTTTTCTAGTGCTTAATGTATGTAAACTTTTTTTTTGACTTACGTAAATACCTTTACAATTTTGATTTCATTTTTGACAAGGGATCTAAAAATATATATTAAAGGTATTGATAACAAAATTAGTGAACAATTTTAAAAACTAATGTCTAATTCAATATAATACTTGATAGAAAATTCTTACTTATCATAACGTAAGAATTTAATTTAAGAAGACTAGTTTAACACTTTAAAAAAAGACCCAAATTTAAACAAGAAACTATAACTATTACGTTTTTAAGAAGACCAACGTGGTTCATAACCAAGCAACGATCCAATATTCCTAAAAATATATCAAGATACAAAATAAAATGAAGTTCAGCAATTATATATAATAATATTGTATTCTAGATAGTATACTGTATACTGCAATAATTAAAATGAAGTATAAAAGAAGGGAACGATGAGTTTCATAAGTTCTAGTTTTCATATAATTAGCATTAGTGCTGTCATATAATAAAAATGAAGAATTAAATATTCTTTAATCTAAACTAACATTTAAAGATTTTTTTTTAAACTTATTTTTTTGTGTCAGATTTTCACCATTTAATTAATATTAATTATTAAGCATATGTTATTAAGCACCAGTAATAAATAAACTCTTCAAATAGTGAGCATTGGTCTCCTAAACCGGAGATTGCGGGTTCGAGTCCCGCCGTGGGTAGATGAGTATTTTTTTCATAATTTTGTGGAATTCTGAGACAGCAAGACAATATTGTTATTTCATGCTTGTCTTATAGTGGGGACTTGAACAGTCCGAACCTCAAAAGAACTTGACTAACAATTTAACTATTTTAAACCAATAGTAGTTAATAATTCCTTGATAAGTGCAAATCCTCTCTAGAGACAGTAAAAGCCAATATCAAATTTATTTAAAACGTGCTATATAGCAAGTTTTATTTTCTTTCTATCCATCTTCTTCCATCCTGCCAAGCCCGCGTAGACTAATGCATAAGGCATCGGTCTCCTAAACCGGGGATTGCGGTTTCGAGTCCCGCCGTGGGTAGATGAGTACTTTTTTTCATCATTTTTTGGAATTCTGAGACAGCAGGACAATATTGTTATTTCATTCTTGTCTTATATTGGGGACTTGAACAGTCCGAACCTCAAAAGAGCTTGTCTAACAATTTAACTATTTTTAACCAATAGCAGTTAATAATTCCTTGATAAGTGCAAATCCTCTCAAGAGACAGTAAAGGCCAAAATCAAATTTATTTAAAAAGTGCTCAATAGTAAGTTTTATTTTCTTTCTATCCATCTTGTCAAGCCAGCGTGGCCTAATGGATAAGGCATCGGTCTCCTAAACCGGGGGTTGCGGGTTCGAGTCTCGCCGTGGGTAGGTGAGTACTTTTTTTCATCATTTTTTGGAATTCTGAGACAGCAAGACAATATTGTTATTTCATGCTTGTCTTATATTGGGGACTTGTACAGTCCGAACCTCGAAAGAACTTGTCTAACAATTTAACTATTTTAAACCAATAGTAGTTAATAATTCCTTAATAAGTGCAAATCCTCTCTAGAGACAGTAATAGCCAATTTCAAATTTACTTAAAAAGTGCTCCAAAGTTAGTTTTATTTTCTTTCTCTCCATGTTGTCAAGCCCGCGTGGCCTAATGGATAAGGCATCGATCTCCTAAACCGGGGATTGCGGGTTCGAGTCCCGCCGAGGGTAGATGAGTACTTTTTTTCATCATTTTTTAGAATTCTGAGACAGCAAGACAATATTGTTATTTCATGCTTGTCTTATATTGGGGACTTGAACAGTCCGAACCTCAAAAGAACTTGTCTAACAATTTAACTATTTTAAACCAATAGTAGTTAATAATTCCTTGATAAGTGCAAATCCTCTCTAGAGACAGTAAAAGCCAAAATCAAATTAATTTAAAAAGTGCTCCATAGTAAGTTTTATTTTCTTTCTATCCATCTTGTCAAGCCCGCGGGACCTAATGGATAAGGCATCGGTCTCCTAAACCGGGGATTGCGGGTTCGAGTCCCGCCGTGGGTAGATGAGTATTTTGTTTCATCATTTTTTGGAATTCTGAGACAGCAAGACAATATTGTTATTTCATGCTTGTCTTATATTGGAGACTTGAACAGTCCGAACCTCAAAAGAACTTGTCTAACAATTTAACTATTTTAAACCAATAGTTGTTAATAATTCCTTGATAAGTGCAAATCCTCTCTAGAGACAGTAAAAGCCAAAATCAAATTTATTTAAAAAGTGCTCCATAGTAAGTTTTATTTTCTTTCTATCCATCTTGTCAAGCGCGCGTGGCCTAATGGATAAGGCATCGGTCTCCTAAACCGGGGATTGCGGGTTCGAGTCCCGCCGTGGTCAGATGAGTATTTTTTTTTCATCCTTTTTTGGAATTCTGAGACAGCAAGACAATATTGTTATTTCATGCTTGTCTTATATTGGGGACTTGAACAGTCCGAACCTCAAAAGAACTTGTCTAACAATTTAACTACTTTAAACCAATAGTAGTTAATAATTCCTTGATAAGTGCAAATCCTCTCTAGAGACAGTAAAAGCCAAAATCAAAATTATTTAAAAAGTGCTCCATAGTAAGTTTTATTTTCTTTCTATCCATCTTGTCAAGCCCGCATGGCCTAATGGATAAGGCATCGGTCACCTAAACCGGGGATTGCGGGATCGAGTCCCGCCGTGGTAGATGAGTATTTTTTTTCATCCTTTTTTGGATTTCTAAGACAGCAAGACAATATTGTTATTTCATGCTTGTCTTATATTGAGGACTTGAACAGTCCGAACCTCAAAAGAACTTGTCTAACAATTTAACTATTTTAAATCAATAGTAGTTAATGATTCCTTGATAAGTGCAAATCCTCTCTAGGGACAGTAAAAGCCAAAATCAAATTTATTTAAAAAGTGCTCCATAGTAAGTTTTATTTTCTTTCTATCCATCGTGTCAAGCCCGCGTGGCCTAATGGATAAGGTTACTCTTTCATTTTAATTTCTGAAGTCTTAAAATTGATTTCTTTTTTTAGGTAAATGTTAATGTCGTTAATTATTGTAGAATTTATCATAGTACAACATTTCACTTTTTTTAAAAAATTAAGTCAATCGTAGTAACTCTCTGAAAGAAAGAGAGAGAGTTTTCTTAAAACTCTATTTTAAACCTCTGGAAAACACACTTTCTCTAAACTTATGAATCTATCTTATTGAAACTTAGCACATTACCTCAAAGTAAAATTATGCAGGCATCGATCAAAAGATAATATCTTTTTTTTCTCAATATATGGTCTGATTTGTTTCTGATTCCAAAAATCTTATTTGCTTTAAATGCAACTCAACCATGAATTCCGAATTCAGTTTTCTTTTCTTACGTGCAATATCTGAAAGAAATATTCAAAATTTCAATAAAATTATATGCTTTATTTTTAAGAAATTATATCCCACGCGAGGATGCTTTTTATAAGGGATCTGCAAAAATTATGTCTCAAGGGATTATTTTTTTTAAAATTTCGGAAAAATTTGAACAAATTATTTTATTTTTTTTATATGTTCGAAGTTCAAATCTATAAATAATTCATAAATATTTCTTTATTGTTTCAAAAAAGAAAGAAAAAATATTTTTAATTTTCAATTTTTATAATTTTTTCTTAATTTTTTTAAAATTCTTCCTTAATTTCTTTTAATTTTTTCATCTCTGTCACCTGTGTCACACTTCAATCAAAGCTTCTGATTGTCCCCGTGTTTAGGAAACTAATCTTTTGAAGTCTTGCGAAATTAATTTAAATTACGATTTTTTTGCGAATTTTGGACACTAATATTGGCATGGGAGAATAAGTTCTCTAAACATGATGAAAAATTAAATTGAAAATTGTACCTTTATACTTTCGGGACCATTTACATATTTTACAGTGTACTGTATGTTTCATAATTAGTTCATAACAATAGTCATAAAATGAGCCGAGTATCTGAAGAAAGATTCAGTTATTTTTGAAAAACCAATTAAAAACGGATGTAAACTGAAATGCATGATTTCTTGTGTTCTGCTTAAGGAACTAGATTATTTATTCTCACCCTGTTTCAAATTTAGCTATTAAGTGCTCAGCAAATGTCACTGCTATATGAGAAAACTATTGATGTTTTTAAAATATAACCTTCACTTGCAGAAACACCATGGTACTGTCTGGATACAAAAACCAGATGATTGCGCAAGTATCTCAGTTGTCAGTCAGCCAACACTGTCATTTATACAAGCTTCGTAACTAATATGGATGTTTGGTGAGAAAAAATCATCTAAGAAAACAGCAAATCTTTCATTTCTGTCATCTTCCTTCTCAACGCTGTTTTTGGAAGCTTTGTCGCCAAGAAAAATGAAAAAGCTACAGTTTAAGTGCCTTAAACTTGAATCAATGCAATGATTTTAAACTTTATACATAATCTTGCCGGAAAGAATTATCTGGATCTTTAGAACAGACAAATAACTTAAATATTTTTAAAGTTATTAAATATTCCTAATTGCCAATTTGGTGACATTTTTCTAGCCTAGATGAAAAATATCGAAATTACTGCCTTATTTTCAATGTTTGCAAGTTTTTATGAGCCCAGGTAATGCAGCATTGCTTTTTTTCTTTTTTTCTTTTCTTCCAGACGTGGACACGTACCTGAGTTTGCAAAACCCTTAACCGTATAGTCCACGTCTGGCCGACAGTCTACCTCGCACAATACACAACACATAAGCAAACAATTACAAAATTCATAACTGCACCACAATTACAAAGCACAATTGCGCAATACAGATGACAATAATGTGTATCAGATTAGTTAATTTAAAAAATAAAGAAAAAAAATGAAACAAAAAGAACAATAAACGAAACGAATTTTGTTACATAATAATTGAAAAAGAGAAACAAAAAGAAAAAGAATAAAGAAAGTGTAAACGAATGAAATGGATAATGAAGGACAAAATCAAAAACTGTTAAACACTTTCAAGATTACTTAGAAAGTCAGATTTAATTAAAATTTTAATAAGGAGTCGTTTTCGGCTAGAAAATTCATTACGTTAATTAATTTATAGTTTAATGTTTTATTTGTAAGAAAGTTTTTTTGCCAAAGATATAAATTATTAATGTTTGGAAGACGTGCATGCCACGATATTGTGTAAAGACAAGTTGATAAGTAATGCTCTGGTTGACCACAGGTACAAAGGTTTGTATCCGAGATATGCAGGTAATGAGAGAAAGAAGGAAGAGGTCCATGACCTGTTAGGAACCAGATGACTTGTTTGATTGGAATTGATTTGAAGAAGTTGACATTAATGCAGCATTGCTATCAGTTTTTAAGTGTTCAAAAATTAGACCACAAATGCTTTTCATTTTCATGTAACTGTGGCTTTTCTCCATATTGTCGTTTTGCGCCATCTTCAAAATATGACGACGCTAGTTTAAGAAAGGCTAAACATGACCTAACAATCATGAGTAACAGTTGCAAACTCACAGCAGTTATAAAAACAGCATATTATTCACAAAAAAGCATCATTTCATCTTACGACGTAGACTTCGAAAAACAGCCAGCAACAAGCTGTGATTTGTGCATGTTTGAAAAAGGGAAAGTCCCCTCGCACGCTTCGGAACCGGTTTTTGATTATATTCAGATCAATAACGAAGCCAAAGCAGCATCAGAAGCATCAAAGAAGCAGCATTCAGTTAACTTAGCTACTTCATAAAGTAAAAATTTGAGTAGTTTTTCATTGAGTGTATGAATCGTCAGCTTACGGGGAAACACCAGAAAGTTTCCTCGTCTTAAGGAAACAGTCTTTGTTTTGAAGATGATTTGAATTTCGATTTTTAACTCGCTTTGAATCATTATTGGAATACAAAGATTATTTCTTTAAAGATGTTATGAAAATTGAAATTAAAAAAGGATCATATTCTACCTAGTACATTCACATTTATTTCAAGTGTACTAAATAATGCAATCGTGTTCCATGCATAAAACAATGTATCAGAATGAATATTTCTAATTAACCCCTTAACAATCGGTTAATTTTCAAGAAAACGGTCATAAAAGTGCTTATTTTTTTATCACATGTCACAAATACACGTATTTGATTAGTGCTGACATCTAGTTTAATGTAAATTAACTATCTACAATTACCGTAAAAATATCTTGGTACTGCCATCTGGTGTGCAAAATGAGAAATAAAATTTTTTTCGGTCAAAGGAAATGGTCTAGTTTTATTCCTATTGGCGTGTTACTACTGAACATTACAGCCCGGAAATATCACGGGAGCGAGAAATAGAGGGCGAAACCTCACCCCGTCATTTTCACGGGAACGAGAAGGAAGGGGTTAAGACAATTAAAATAAATATGAGACGCATTTTTATTGTGAAGTTACAACAGTCTATGTGCGACGCCTTTTACCAGGCAGCATACAATCATCATACAGATTATCACTGTCATATGTTCGCTGTTCCATCATTAGCATTTCGTTTCTGTGGGAGTTGTAGCTGTGCATGAAGCCGTAAGCCACTCCGGTAGGGGATTGTGGAGGAGTGTTTGTAAAACAGATTTGAGTATTTTGATCTGAAAAACAAAAGTTAAGTTACTAATTTTAGAACAAAATATATTTATTGAGCATAATAAAATCATAAATTTTACAGTATTAGTTTAATTTATAATTGCTTTTTATTTTAATCTTATTTTTTGCCAATGAACGATTTGTTCGCTAAAGATAATTTGAAGACCAAAGAATAACCAACCAACAAAGCGAATTTGCATTAATTAATGATTCTCCAAATTAATGCGTTATTTTCAATTAGTCTTAAATCAAACGTTAAAATCTGATTTCGCACGCGCCTCCAATAGCAACAGAGTAACAGAAAATGAGCACACTTATTTTAGCATAAAGTTTTTTGTTGAACTATAACTTCGTGCAATTTTTATGTGATCAAATTTTAGGAGGGCTTCAGATTTAAGACATTAAATATGTGCAGTAATATGGTACAACTTGATTCCATATTCAGGTTACGTCTCGCAAATTTTTTGCAATCTTAATAAGGTGTTAATTTGAACCATGTTCCCATACAAGTAACAAGTTAAGCTTGCAATCAAGTTTAAGATTGCGTAATTTGGAAAATAATGAGCACCGTAATAACTTTGCAGAAAATTTGAATAATGTTGCGGTTCAAAAAGCATTGAAATTTCGAATAGTGTACACATATAACAGTATTTTAATTTCTACAGAGTATACGCAAGATATAAGTAAACCGGATTAAATATCAACGGTAGAAGATGGTCGAATTTTCAGTGTTGGGCAGCACTGGTTACAGCAATTAGCACCAGAATAGCCATTGCAGATTTTTGTGGTTTTCCTCTCCCTGGTAATAAAAACATGGGTTAATTTCACTATAAAAGTCATCTGCGAGAGCAAGATTATCCTAATATTCCCCCTTTTATCTTTTGCGTCAAATTAAAAAGAGTAAAATATGTAAATTAACAATTTGATCCAAATCCACTACACGGATAATTCGTTCACCAAAGATGATTACGTAATTTATTAATTTTTTTTTCGGTCAATGGCGGGCACTTGGGTCTATTTCCCATTTGCATCAGAACTGCCAGAAATTCTACTCTCTTACCCAGAGAGTCTCTCTTACTTCTACTCGTTACCCAGAGAGCACCTATGGCTAAGCCACGGTGGTGGATTAGCATGGATTACATAAAACAAAACCATACTTTTTTAAAAACCTTATATATAGAGAAAGAGATTGAAATATTGAAATTAATCACCATTTATGCTACTTAAACGGCATATGAACCAAATATAAGTGAATTGGCAAAACTGGAGAAGGGATAAAGAAAAATGTAAGCAATCTCGACTAGTGATAGAGCAGAGATCCCAAAATGAAGCTTCCCGAAAGTCTCATTACCATGCAATCTGTCCATTGCAGAAAATTTGAGTTTTGTATAGCACTTGAGAATTTGAATTTTATCCAATTCGGTTTATGTCTGCCTAATTCGTTTATCGGTGTCCTATTAAACGTTAAAATGTGAAATTTTCTAAACAATACAAACAATAATTTCTCAAATTATCACTCATTTGCAGTTAATTAAGGTCAACTAGAAACTGTTATTCATCACTGAAATTATTTTAATTTACGAAATCAATTATTGAGGAATTTCGATGAATGAAAACAAAATTTTCTCAACTATGTTTTTTGGATTTTATATTTTATTACAAATAAAATTCCGATAATCTAACAAATTTTTTTAGTAACTATTAGACTGTGTTTCACGATTAAAAAATACCAAAATATATTTGTGCTTGTAATTAGAGCGTCAGTGAAAAATATATAAGAAGGACACCAGTGTATCATGTGCGCCAAATGGTTTATATGGGATTTTACAAGTTCAAGATTACAAAAAGTACTCACTTTGAAAACTATTGGAGTAGTTAATAGTGCTTTCATCACAGGTGACTGCTGAATTTGACGAACTGCTAAATGGGAGTATAGGAGCATTAGCAGTGATAGTAAACTGTAAAAAGAGAATAAATACTTCATAAAAAATAGTGTCACTCAATCTGAATTTAATATCTATTTATTAAGTTAGTGCATTCGAAATGTCTTACAAAAACTATTAAACTACTATAATATCAAACATAGTAGATGAAGGGATTTAACTATTCTATTTTGTTAAGCCTTTCATAGATGACGCAGCTGAAATCAGTTAGGAATGTATTAATGCGTTGTTTGATGCGTACCATGTAGATCGTAGACCGAATCGACTATTTATCATTCAAGCTCATTCTGATGAAAAAAAGGAAACTAAACTAAAACTCTAAACTCAGCGGCGCGACAGCCAAAATAGAGCCAAGGCCTACTATGTCCATCTCAGTTTTCTTGACCTTCGGCTCTGCGGTGCAGGAGCAGATGTTCCGATCAGGTGGTCAGCCGAACGTGGAACCCCCAGTGTTTAGTTCCTAAGCATGCTTGGTACTCATTTATCGACCCACTGAAGGGATGAAAGGCTAAGTCAACCTTGCCCAGCCCGGGGATCGAACCAGGGACCTGTGGAACGACAGCGCGAAGCGCTACCGCTCAGCCACCGGGCGTCTGAAAAAAAGGAAACATAGACTTAATTTTTGCTTGCCAAAAATTTTTCGTAAGTTTTTAAAACTCAACATTATCTGGATATTTTTTTTTTTTTTTTTTTTTTTTTTTTTTTTTTTTTTTTGTAAAAGGGAAGATTTTTTTTTTTACCAGGCGTAGTATTTCAGGGACTATTGATAGGAATGAATCCAATAGAAATGTTCATATTAGCCACACTCTTTGCATATTTATGAAAATAGATCTTCTATTATACATCTAAAACCATAAATCATCTGTCGGCTGCATGTTACATAGCATATGCATCTTCCACTGAAGTCACTTTTTCTCGATGATGATGCTAATAAAAAGTATAACGGAAATTTCTTTTCTTTAACAAGACAGACTGCTGAAAAAAAATTTGTTTTAAAATTTTACTTATTAAATGAAATCTATATTTCATGTATCATTATCATAATAAATTCCTTCTTAATTAATAAAAGCTCTTTGAGTCGTCGTTACTTGATTTGTTTTTAGTGGGACCTCCCTTCTGTAATATATATTCCTGGTTAGCAACAAAGAATTCGACTTCTGCCACACCTATACTTCGCACCCATTAATAGGGCAGACCCATTCGTAAAACCATTCATTCATCCCTAGATCGTATTTTTGACCTGAACCAGAGAACGATCAAATTTTAATTCAGTTCTCCCGGAGGTATAATTTTTTATAGGAACATAGAGGACTTTATGACCCGGAAGATTTAACAAGCACCAGTCACTGTGTAGTAATAAACTACAGGAGGAGTCTTCGTCCGACTGGATTCGGATTGCTGTTTTCACTAACGTGAGTCTAGCACCCTGCCAACAAGGCTATCTCAGCTTCTCACATAATATTATGCTTTTATTAATTTTTAACCGCAAGTTTATTTTAATTTATTTATTTATTTATTTTTATTTATTTGCAAATACAGTGATTTTTTTTAATTCGTGAAGGAGGGTAATTCAAAGTTTGAATATTTATTGACTGAAGTTGATTATTTCAAAATTTCTTTATCTTACCAGTACATTTAACTACATCAACAATCAATTTTATAATCGTTTAAATTTATCAGTTTCACAGCAAATTTTAAATTACATCTTTTCGAAATTAAGATTGCCGTATTCCTTCTGCTTCTTTAACCAGTAAAAGTATTTAGCTTTGAACTTGTGTGCATAATTTCTCAACACGCAGTAGTAATTTCGAATTTTTTTTTATTGAGTCAAAATGACAAACACATCAAAATATTATAACTTATTAAAATATTTATAATATACCCATTCTTAATTTATATTTTTTTAGTATCTATTTAAGCAAATATAGTTAAAAGAGTAAACAAATTAATATTTCACTGAGGAAAAAACTAAAACGTTTGCTAAATTTGCTGAATCACTTTTGATGAAAACAGGGTTAGAAACATGAAATCAGTTTTATTGATTGAAAGTGTTTCTAATAACCAATTTTTACCTCTTTACTTTTTCCTCTCGCAATCAAACAGGCTTTGGTTTTGCTTTCCTTTTTAATAATTTCTAATCGATTTTTGTTTCTCTACTTTCTTAAATATGGGAGAAATTTTGCATTTCCCTAAATGATTATAAGAACGCTATTCGAGGTTTTGCTCATGCGCGACTATACTTTATAGAGTGCCGCGGTAGTTCAGGGTCTAACACGTTCGAATCCCAATGGCGGCTGATTGATGCGAATTCTACTCCGGCTCGCAATTTTGATTTAAAATTTCCTCAGTAGTAGACAGTCCATGAGTTAGAATCCCGTTAACGCCAGGCTAACCGTGGGAGGTTTTCGGGATTTTCCTCTTTAAATATGAGTTAACTTCATCAAAAAAATCTTCCACGAAGGCTAGCTTGCCCCAATTCTTGATCAAGAAGTTCCCTTGTAATCTGGGTTGGGTTCGAAATTACAGGCCAATGGAGAACTTTCTGTGTTATGAAGCTGAACAGTTGATGGTCGTAAACTTAGAATTGGATCGGTTGTTCAACGGTTATCAAATATAATATACTCATTAGGAATAAGATTTGAAAAACAAGGTACCCTTCTATTTCATCGTATGTATATCTTTGGAAAATGCAACACTATATCTTAAACACTAAACAGTAAGAAAATTAATCTTTTAGAAACATCTTCTAATTCTCAATATTAATTTGAATCTTAATAAATATCAATTAACTTAATAATAATCAAAAATATTTGAGAACTTATTGCATAAAAGAGAGTTTTATATTTTTATTAAAATATTTTCTACTTTGATAAATCAAGTAAGCAGAAGCAGATTCACACTAGAAGTCTTCGAGTAACTACTTACCATTTTTTACTTAAAAAAAAACTAATATAAAACCTTGTTTTTCAAAGAATTAAATATTTTTTCTTTAATTTCTGAAATTAATTTCTAATTGCTTAGTCATTAAAAATAGATAACTGTACAAATTTTTAAGAGTTAAGTAATTTGAAGAAGTGAATACAGAATGCGAAATTCCATTTTCACAAGTGAAAAGAAATTAGTATAGTAGGAAAATATGAAAAATAGTAGACAGTAAATTTATTTGTACCATTGAACGGGAAATTTAGGTCTATTTATTGTTCTATTTTAGATGTTTCATCAAAGAAAATTGAAATCATCAAAATTCTATTCTTTTTTACTTCTGAAAACATGGTCATACTACTGTCAATAGAAACTGCACAAAAGACATATCAGTCGAGTAATTTATTAGGTGGATAAAGTATATCGAATATGAAATTCTTTTTTTCTATTTAAACTTAAAAAATAAAAAATAATAATGAATAATAAATCTTTTAATAGTTTTAGTTTGCATTTTCAACATTCCACTCCCCATTTCAGTCTTCTTTCCATACAGGCATAACCCACTTTTACTTCCGAATTTGTGTCAATAGCGGGCGTAATTCGGCAGATAGTTTTTTCCATGTATGATAATATACATTACCAGGTCATTAAATTCTAATACTTTTGAAAGGGAGGTAGGGGGTTTGCTAAATTGTGACAAGAGGTGTGATCAATAAGTGGCTTAACGCATTTTGGTCTCAATGAAAATATTTAAAATCACAGATATATCTCTTTTTATTATTTGTTTTTATAAATTTTTCATCAATATACATATCGAATACATATTATTTTTATGCTCGCAAATAACATTAAAACACATTGCTTAAGAAATTTGTTAGGTATTTAGATTTGAAAATTAATACGTCTTTTGCTACAAAACTACTTGAATACGTTGTTGTATTGTAATATAACGCAACGAGAGTATAGTAAAGTGTGACACTTTGTGACAAAGTGGAGGTGGATTTTCAAAAAGATTGAAATAAATGGACGTCATTTATGGACATCAATTATAAACTGCCCCAATCAACTTATTTCAGTATTTTTTTTTTTTCAGTTTTTATCAAAGATAAATTAAAAAAAGTTGCAAAATGAAAGAGTGTAAAACTAGACGCTAATACTAAGAACTAAGCAACAATTTCAATAATGTCTATGTTGAGGAAAAATTTTTACCATGTGAACTAAAAATGGTAGCTTAGTAACATTATTCTCTTACATGCGCAAGAATACTTTGTGATCAAAATCGTTTAGTGCTACGGTTTGTGAGAGGCTAATACTGCCTGAAAATTTTTTTATAAATTTATGACTGTTAATGTAGATAATTTGTTTTAATTTCATTTTAGAAAAGATTTCCAAAAATATGCATTAAGAGTTTTGATTACGGAACACCCTTTATACAATTACTTACACTTCGATATGGTGACATCGGATGAGAAATCTGAAGACTAGGTGATATTGGTTCGTAAGAAGGAGTGGTTGATGAGCTTACTGAAAGGAATAAATAGCGAATTACAAAATAATAGTTGTCAAATTAACTATTTGTACGACATGTAAAAAAATAAACAGAGATAAATGACATTTTTATATGTTGAAATTCTCAATTTATGAAGTAAATTGAGAAAAACTTACTAAGGTAACACAGTTGTAGGACAAATATGGCATTCCTATACTGTCAACAAAAAAAAATCAATGTAAGCCACAAAAAAATTCTAAATTGAGATTTTTATATATTTGTAAGTTCTTTTTTTTATTTTTGATAAATTATTATTTATTTATGAGTACTATTGCACAAATAAGGAGAATTTCATTTTTCTGAAATTCTGTTTAGTGAGGGAAAGAAAATAGTTGTCAATCCGTTTTTCTCGAAATACATCGTGAATTATCAACGTTCTGCGGTATATGATTTGAAACTATGACTTATTTTTTTATTGCTTTGTTATCTGTAGAATTTTTATTTTCTGTTGCGTACGAAATTCAACAAAGCGGTTAATTACTAAGTGATTTATTTTTTCAAATTTTTGCCATGAAAAAAATTTTTTTTCAACTTACCGTAACGAAATGGCGTTTCAAAGGCACAAGATTTACCATTTCCATTCAAGCAAATCCGGAAATATCCACTCGCTCCAAGCTGAGGAATAATAGCGGATATTGCTGTGTCCGTAATTATCTGCAAAAATAAAAATATAGATTTCATTAAACCATTAAAGCCCTTTTTTTTACAGACAAGTATATGAATATATATGCTATGTACATATTTTGGAAATTAGCGTTGTGAGTATCAAACTGAAAAAAAATATTGAAATATTTAAATTAATTTAAAATCAATCAAGTTTTCAGATGAATATAACAGTCGATTAATTAAAATACCTGCTTCTGCCATAAATAATGTTATTTAAAGTAAAACGAAGGAAGTAATTGTAAACTAGTCACTCAACTGGGATTCAGGGGATAAAGCATTTGCCACCCAATGAGGTGATCCAAGTTCGAATCCCAGTGGTGGCTGGTTAATACGAATTTTGCTTCCTGCTAGCACCGATCGCAGTGCTGATGTAGAAATATCCTCAGTGGTTACATGGGTTTGAATCCCCTTGAAATCTGGCTAACCGTGGTTTCGTAGTTTTCCTCTCTATGTAGCGCAAAGGCGAATTAGTTCCATCAAAAAGTCCTCCTCCGTGGTTAGTTTGTCATAATGCTTGATCCAGGAATTCCCTTTTCTTCAGCGTTAGGTTTAAAAATACAAGACTATGGGATTGAACTTTGATCATCGGTAATTCTAAATTGAGCCGGCTGTTCACCGTTTATAAAATAAAATATATAAACATTTTAAAGCATGCTACACTGAATTTAAATAACGCAAGCAGATCTTATAAAAAAATGCTTACAACACCAAGTATAAATAATAAAGTCACATTTTTTAAGAACATTTAAAAATTATTTAAAAAAAAAAGGAAGAAAAAAAAAGAAGCTTTAGAATCCATGTATTATACACATGGATATTTACAATTGATCTTTCACCGTTATAAACCTATTTGCATAATTTGTCGGCATGAATTAAAATGACACAAGCTTAAAAATAAAAATTCCAGTTCTTTTTAATGATTTTAAACATATTATTCCTCGAAGTTTTTCAGTTAGGATAATTAATTAACATTAATTACATTAGCAATACAACTAACAAGGAAAAGTACGTGTTCACATAAATCTTGATAAAAGATAATTATTAAATATTAGTTCTCTTAAATTGCAAAAAATGCTTATGCAATGTCCCCACATAGTTTGGTTAAAAAAGCTATCAACATAATTGATAAATTAATATAAATATCGGTCAACTCTTTCTTTACCTTTTTATTTTAACTGGTCAAAAAATTTCAAGTCTATATTCATTTTGAGGTATACAACAAGCATAAATATCTATATAATGCTATATTTACTCTAGTTTCTGCGGGAGTTTTTCCGAAGAAAACTTGCAATCCTTCGACAAAGTTAACTCCATTGATAACAACAAGTTGATTGTAAGAACCTCCTGAAGGAATGAGTGCTCGAATCTTAGGATCAGTGTCATGTTTAACTACGAAAATAAAAAAAATCTTATTTTTGTGGAAAATCTGAAATGTTGAGCTCAGTCTTTATATTGACATTTAATACTTAGGAAATGTAACATGTTTCTTTCTTTATTTCTACTTTCAAATAATTAAATTTTCTGATACAAGGTTTAATATAATACATATTATAACTGTGATGTGTCAATAAAAGAAAATACCCCTTGACTATTATTATTATTATATTACCAAAATTAAGAGAGATAAAGTCCCTGCAATGATAATAAATTAAAGATATAATCAATATGAAAAAAATATTAAAATAGTTAAATAGCATACAAATTTTGACAGGATCATCACCTTCAGATCAAAGTAAAATACAGAAAATTAGAGAAAAAAAACTTGATTAATAAATCATGCAAATAAACATATCTAATCAAAGTCAGATACATATTTTAGATGTATGCACGTTTATTTCAATGGGATTTTCGGCATTTCCCAAATCGATACTTCAGCGCATGAAATATCGATGGCAGTACAGTCTAGTTGGCAGAAGTATACTTGGATAAATTTATCTCATCATTGAATATCATGGGATCCGCCATTTTAATTCTAAACCTCTCAGTTCTGCCAGTGAAAACTGTTGTGGCGTGTATTCAAATTTCTTATTGACTGCATTGTGCATTACTATACAGAAATATTAAAACCATAATTTGTATATATACAACTGATGATTCATATTTCAGATGCATATACTCCATTGATATTACATTTTTATTACATACCTTTTTTCTTTTTTTTTTAAATTTCATGGAAACTTTTTATGGAATTTAATTTTTTTCCTCTTATTTTCACAGTAAGAGTAAATTTTCCCATTAAATTGGCACTCAGTTCGGATTTTTTCTTTCACGATACTAATTCGTGAGAGTCAATATTTGTCATAAATTGTACTTCACAAAAATAATAACCCCCCTTGAAGCACAAATATTTTTAAAGTAATATTACAAATTCTTTTTTATTTTAACCTTGATACTAAAAACTGTCTTGTTAAATTGACACTAAGAAAAGAATTTTTAATTATTTGTGGCATTTCTCAGTGGCTTTACATTATTAGATTTATCTAAAAACAATTTATTATCTTTAAACATCCAAAGAAAGATTAACAATGCGCATTGTTCATACTGCAATTTGAAAAATTTACCACAATTATAATTTTCTCGATGAATTGGTTCTTAGTAACTAACTTCATTTTTGTTTCATCGATTCCTGTTGAATTTGCCTCATTTAGGTTCATAGAAACATGTTATAAAAGCCTGTATTTAAAAATTAAAAATTTAAAGAAAAAAAATTGGAAAAAAATTATTTTTATGCATTGTTAAATATTTGGAGACGTCACCTTCTATATATCGCGAAATTATCTGTGTTGTTTTTACTAGGGAAAACCTAACATGGGAAAACCAAAGATAAATAATCCAACAAAATGTGCTGTAAGATCCCAATGAAACTCATTCTTCACTAAGTAGAGCTGTAAGATGTTGTAAAATGTTTAATTATTTCGATTGAAACTCCTTAAATTGTTAGGCGGAAAGCGGTAGTCGGAGAGAAATTTATGACGAGCGCTCTAGTTTGAGGTTTGTTTTGTTGTTGCCTGGTTACCACGAGCACTCTGGTTTGTTATGGCGTAGCTCACACTGCTGGTTGGAGAGCTGGAAGTAGAGAGTTCAAGCCTGATGGCAGACAAAACAACCTTCTCTGTATACGCTGCAAAGTGCACATTAAACCTTTGGTGGCTGAAAGTCGTCTCGTCGGTTGTGGTACCAGCTCAGGCGTTGTCCCGTAGTCTGCCTAGAGTCGAAACTACGTGGCATTCCTGCCATGGCCGTTTAAGGAAAGAGAGCTGAAAATGGGGTTAGGTGCTTGGCCATGTTTAAGTGATGATGATGGTGACTAAAGCCATGTTTCCGAACATATGTACGATGTAAATCGATTGAAATTTTTCAAGTTTGTATGAGGAATATACAAATAAACATTTTGCTTAATTTATTAAATTGCTGATAATCATTAAATACCATTAATGATTCATTACTGATTTATTTACTGGTAATATCATATAAAGGAAAAAAATTTAAAAAATAAATAAATAAAACAAAAATAAAATTTTAAAAAATTTAATAAGGTGTTTTAAAAGATACAAATCTTACTTTTACGGGTCCTTTTTGTATTGCTAATTTCAATACGATTAGCGCCAAATTTAGAATTATTGTGTACAAACATCTCCTGAGACAAACATAATATACGGGCGAAGAAATTGGACCCATCACCTTCGGTCACCATAATCTGAAATTTTAAAAACTACGTTTTACGTTTTTTTCCTTCGAGTAGTTGAAAGTTAAACACAACTACCATCGTTATGCGAAACAGGATTACTAACATATGTTATGCTTAGAATAGTAAAACACGCTGTTAGAATTCTTTTTAAATGGTTTAGCATCCATTTTTTCTGTGTATTTTTAAATGCATACATATTTTTATTACATTATGTGCACAATAATGACAAAAAGTTTTATAGTTAAAAGTTTTATAGATTTCGCTTCAGAGATTACGTATTTTGTGTTTTGTTCTGTATTTTCTTTACATTTATTTTCTGTTCTTTGCTTGATATATTTGTTACTGAATGTATTCTATTTTCGTTTCAATTTTTTTTCTTTTTTTTAGTGCTTTTCACATTATTGTATCACACTTGTATTGATATATTTTGTTTTGGCTATATTGATACAATATTAGAAAGCATTTGTTTTCGCTGATATAATTGTGTAAGTGGATGAAGAGATTATATCTTTTCCTAATTTTTTTCCGGCTTTTAAATATATATATATATGGGTCATTCTCACGAAAACTGTCATTTTTCAGTTCATAAAATCCCAAAACAGTAAAGTGAATAAAAAGCTCTAAAACTTTCTATATTAATAGAAATATGTAATGGCATTATAAAGAAAGTATATATCCTATAAATTATACTTAATATTTAAATTAATTAATTTTTTAAATAATTAATTTATAATTA